GCGCCTCCGCCGGGGGGCGGCCCCGCGCCGCCGCCGGGCCTCGCCGCCATCTTGGCCGCTGCCCCGCTGTCCCGGGAGCGGGACGGGCCGTGCCGGGCCGGGGGAGGTACGTGGGGCGCGGGAGGCCCGGGCCGTGAGGGAGTGGGGCGGTGCTGCCCTTGCTCGGGGGGACGGGATCCCTGCCAGGCGGCAGTCGCCCGTGTCCGGTCCCGGCCGCGCTGGTTGGCCAGAGTCGGGCAGGGGCGACATCCCCGCCAGTGGCGGTACCGGGAGACTGCCCTGCAAATCCGAGACTTTCCGCTTTACTCGCCTCCGTTTCCGTTGTTCGGTGCCTATTTAAATACAAAATCGTTGCCGTGTTCGAATACCATCACCTCCCCCTTCCGTTGTTCTGGGCTCTGGCGGAGGTGCGGAACCGCCCGGCGGAGAGTGAGCAGGGTCGGGTCAGAGCCCCGCAGCTGCGATCTGCACCGCCCCGCTCCGAGCTGAGGCGCCGGCATGAGGGGATCGTGCTCCGGCTGTCAGGGCAGGCAGCCCGGCCTGCAGCACGGGCGGTCTGGGAGCCGCCGTTCGCGGCTGAGCCCGCAGCAAGGCCAGGCCGGGAGGGGCAGGGCGGGTGGGGCAGCGGCGCCGGCTCACCTGGATCGGTCTTCAGCAGCCCTGCTGCAGCCATGGTGTTTGCACTCGTGCTCTACATGCTTAATTAGCAAGGGGCTCTGTGAGCGCCGATGTCCAGAATATGCGCTGAGAATAAACCCGTTATCATCCACCGCTGTGCACTGCACATCGCTCCTGCCCTGTTCAGTACCCAGCGGTAACTGAGTGGAGGTTGTCCCTTCTTTTCTTTTGTTTCAGTTCAAATCTGCTGTGAATTAGTAATGCGTTTACCATCTTTTCAGTATGATGAATCGTTCGTACCCATTAAGAGTTAATCAAACTGGAGGAATAGCGTCACCATTCAATGTAGCTTTTCTATAACCAACCAGGCATAAAAGCATACTTGAATGATGAAAATTTGTGTTCATTAGCAGGCAGACTGCAGTATGGCAGAGGAAAAGGTATTTTACAAGAAAAGCAAAGCCAATTTCAATTACTCATGCAGGAGGTAAAATGATGGAAACAACGTTTCACAAAACTGAGTATGCCAACCATGAGAATGATTCTGCTGTGGCAGTTTCCAGCGGGTTTGAATCTTACATAGCTTCTTATTTATTTACTAAGGTAAAAAAAAAAAAAAAAAAAAAAAAAAAAAAAAAAGAGGAAATATCTGAATGGGATTTCTCTGTAAAAAATGTCTTGTGTTGTGTGCTAACTAAAACACAAACCAATTTGGGTTTTTTTTTTTTTGGGGGGGGGGAAGGACAAACAGATTCTTTACTGCCTGTATGCACATATCTGAAAATTCTTTGCAAATGGCAAATCAAACTTGAAGAATACTCCATGCCCTCTCATGTTTGATTTTGCTGGTTTTATTTGGAAATTAAATTTTCTGTTGTAAAAGACAGTTATGCAGCAGCTAAATCCCCGTTGTTCTCTCATATACAGATCTGCTTACATGAGAAATCTTTAATAAAAACTTTGCCATGAGAATTCAGAAAAGAGAAATTGAAGTCCTTGAAGCAGAGAAGTCTGAACAGTAGGAGATGAGTGGTAGCTATATTTTATGGCTGTAATAATGGCAAGAAACCAAATTAAAATTTGTTTAAAATGTGAAGCTCCTTCTTCTTACATCCCTTTAAGTTTCCCCCAAATTACAACTTCACATATAACTTCAAAAATAAAATTAAAAAAAAAGAATACAGGGAAGATAAATCTTTTTTTCTGTTTATTTAACATAATATATGAAAGGCAGCCTTTTAACAGGAGCTGCTTAGAATAAGAGTATCCGTGAGACTCATTCATACAGGATAAAAGAATTAGAGTGCTGCTCTGCTCTGCCCTCTTGGAGGAGAAGGAAGGTACGAGTGGTTATGTGCCCTCTTTCTGCCCTCTGTGTTTGGACCGGTTGGGGCAGAGTGCACACACATTGGGAAGGGTTGCCATGCACAGCAGAGTTCCAGGGATGCTTGCTGGCTCTGATGGAGTGTTTCAGTAGTGCATGGCTCTCTGGCACTGTGCTTGTCCTTTCTGGAACCTTGAGTGCCTCTTCAAAGAGAGCCTGTGAAAGACAGTGGTATAAAGCTAGTAGCACTGTTGTTCTGGCCTGTCAGACTTACTGGAGGAGTGAACTGGGCGAGCATGGTGGAAGACATCTTCACAAAGAGCTACTGAGTTGGGGCTTTGATACCCTATGCTTGAATCCTGCTGCCTTGTCCTTTTAGAGTTCTTCATGGTTTGGCTGGAATATAAGCCCAATTATCAGTATTTTCCTGAAAATACTATGAACACTCGATATGTGAACTGATACTCACTTTATCTGTCCATTTGGCCCTGTCAGTCTATTCAGTACTGCTTTCAGAGAGGGAATTTCTGAAGTCATCCCTTAGTAGTCCTAAAGCTACTGATTCAGATGTTGTGGTCAGATGTTCCAGCTCCATGTAAAAATGCAGTCTTAGCAAAGAATTTTTAATTGGTTTGGTGTGGGTTTTTTTCCTAAGAAACTCATGGTTTCCAGCAAAGCTTTCTATTCTTGCAGGTCCCAAAGGGAACTGCAGTTATTCAGGATCAAATATTGTTTGATTATTCAGAATCTAATATTGTTCTGTTGACAAGAGATGGAACTCTCTTGCCAGCAGTTAGAAGATTTATACTGAAACTAATTGGAACAGAGGCACCATGCAAGTGTATCATTGGAAAGCTCATCAGACAGTAGATTAAATTCTCATGCAGGCTGTAATTGTTACTGGTAAAAGCACAGAGGAAGTTGCAAATTTTGTTATGGATACCAAACACTGATTTAAGTCAACTTTAGAGTATTCTCAAGGGAGTACTTCCTCTTAAAAACAATTTCAGAAAGTTACTAACAGTGTTTTAAATGAGAGCAAAGATAAATAAATATATGCTGAACATCTGGGAAGCAAAGCATTTAGTCTTTAATAGGGATGATCTTGCTGATAAAATATGTCTGAGTACTTGTGCAGACACAAGCACTCCATGGTGTTGAGTAGATATGAAGTTTTGCTTGACTAACAGAGCAAAACTTGCTCGTAGCAGTTCTTAAAAAAGATTGCAAAAATGTTTTTACTTTGATGTGTAGATACCTAAGCTGTGAGCATCTTATATGTAAAAAGATTCATGACACTTGAGCAGCTCATTAAAACACACAAACAATAATAGGAGCGTAAAAAACCCTGTGAAATTACAGAACATTCATGTTTTAGTAAACCTGAGGCTTACAGATTTATCAACTTGAATCACAGCTGCTAATGATGTGTCAGGTTGGTCCTGCCAATTATAATGTTGGCTGTCTTGAAAGGGTTGTTCAGGTGTTTAATGGGACTTCTCTTTATTAGGTTTGCTGGTTTGAAAGTCAGTGAATGGGGTTGGGGAGGTCGGGAACACATTTGTGGCACATACTGAATTTATAGGAAAAGCTAAAGTGCTGACTAGGTGATCGTGACAAAAGTACTAGCTTCACTAGAAATAGAACTGCCTATTTTAGCTTATTTCTCCAGATTACTTTAAGCATTTGATTACTTTCCATTCACTTGTCACTAGAAGTTGATTTCCAGAAATACATAACAGAGACTCAGACAGTCTACCACCACTAATTCTTCCACCCTTCAGAACAGCCATGCCAAATTCAGGGAGCATTGGAGCTGTGGAATACTTTCCTAGTGATGGTCCTATTTGGAGCTATTTTCAGTAATTAGTACTAGCTCTAAAGGGCTTTGCAGAGGTCAGTGATAAATTCCTCACTTCGTGGTTTCAGAGCTTTGTATGTAACTCAGCTCAGTGTTATGAAAAAGCAGCTGTTGACAGTATTTCTGCATTAATTACACTTTAGAGTACTTAATTGTAGCTAAGGACAAGCATGTGCAATCAGCCTTTTTTCCCATGCTCGCAGTCTCTCTCTCTTGCCAGTGAGCTCCACTTTTGTCTTGTGAGCCTGCTGTGCCTTTAGTCCAGATGTTTCCGTGCCAAGAATTTGAAAATCAGTAACACTGCAAATCCAGATTTAGTCAAAAGAAAAGTTAGAGATGTGGAAACAGCTCATTGAAGGCGTCTTAGTTAAAATATGTTTTTCTTCTATGTGGACTTCAGATTCTAGTAGGATGGAAATGACTGAGATGAGTCACGTGGAGTTTTGCATGTCAGACGAAGGATGGGAAGTTTGTGAGAAGAAGCTGCAAAACTGCAGGGCTGCTTGTTGCTGCAGAGCCTGTAAGGTGCCTTGCAGTCAGGCAGTAACATGAAAGGCTGTCAGTCTACTGAAAATGAGCTTGAACACTTTGCTTTGGCCTAGATGCAAATAATGATCCATGTACACCTTCAGTCTGCTCTTAGGTAGGCCTAAAAGCAGAGAGATGGGAGGCATGTCCTATGGAATAGTCCTAGAAACATCTTCAGTACCTTACATGGAGTGCGTTTATGCTGACATCTCAAAGTGGTATCTGTGTACACTACTACATGGAGAAGAATCTCATGATTCCTGAATTCTGGTGATGTAGTTTTGTTATTGTTTTTTAAAACTTAGGAACTTTGTTTCAAGACCTTTACCCTCAAAGTGCTGCAGCTCTTAACACACTTTGCTGTTGACCTACTGGTGTGAGGAATTTGAATGTTACTGGATTGATTTCTTATGTTCAGCATTTGTCAATCTTTTTTGCTTTTCAAGTAGTGTTCTGATGAGACAAAAAAGTCAGGTATTGCAAAATTAGTTTAGGGATCTCTACATGTCTGAAATGAAATCTAGCACTCAAAAATAAAGTAACAGAAATCTTCAGTACTTGGAGCAGTGTAAGTAATTTTTGTTAAATAATAGTTTATAAATCTTGTATTGATATTTTCGTAGTGTTACCAGTTCTAAGATACTCAACATTAAATATGTCTTTAATCAGCTGGTGCCAGTTGCTTGGCAGTGTATGGGATAAATCAAATTACTTAGTCTTGTGTATAATAGACTGATGTCCCCACTGCTGTAGGGCCATCTTTATTCTACTCAGCACTGGGTAGTGTACCAGCTGAGCTGCCCCTTGACTGACAGGGCAGGGCTTGTGCCTCGAGCTGCCAGCTCTGCACTTAGGCTGCAAGGAGAGAGCTTCAGTTTTCCAGAGCACTTCAAATTAGCAGCAAATTAGCATACTGCTAAAACTTGTGAAAAAAGAAAGGAGTATGTGAGAGGATTTGAAGGGAGGTCTTACACTAGAAACAGAATATGTATTGTGGGAAATTCTGTGATCCCTATCTTCCTACTTAGAAGATGGGGTAGGCAGCCAGAGGGGACTTTACTGCTCATATTCCACAGGTAATACAAAGCTGTCATCTGCCAAGCGTGGTCCCCTGGATCAGTTTGCTACTCTGGTTCACCACAAGGCCACACAAACACGCCTGTGAACACAGCTGGTGCCTAGGCAGCTTGGGGCAGATGAGTAAAGAAGGGCAGTGGCCAAGTGCTACCTCCCCTTCTGGCTACCCACACTCTCCCTTGGTTGCATATCAAGTCATGGTCTAATATCCCAAGTGGAATTTAGGCAAAAGAAGGGGCCCTGCTGCTACAGTCATTTGGTGCACCAGGAGCTTGCTATGATTGCGTGGTCTGCTGCACAGCTGTGCTTGTTAAAAGTATATTGTGACAAATGCAGGCATTTCTGATCTGTAAATGAATAGAATCTGGTTGAATGTTAACAGAAGCACTACAAACACTGTCACATGTGTCTGATACTCTTTGTATCAGCGTATCATTGGAAGCTGCCTGCTGTCCAACATAGCTCCTCCAGAGCAGGCTGTGGATCAGCTCCTCTGGAAGTGGAATCTTACCAGTGCTGCTTGTACTGGACTCTCAGATGCAGCTTTGTGTGCATTAAATAGGAAGCGGGTCTGATATTTGTTAACAGATATGCTATTGTATCAATTTAAAAATGTACAGAGATCTATTCTAAGCTTTACAGCTGAGCACCTTCGTATGTGTGGGCAGCCGTGATGTCGAACAATACTGACATTCAGTGGTTGATTATACTTGTCACCCTTGTGTGACTATCGAGGAGATTTTGGAAGGCTTTAATGTTCAATGCTGGCTAAATTCAGAACATGTTTACTGGAGCTGGATTAAAGCAATTGTGTCAAGGCTCCTTTATAAAATGCTGTGCTCACAGTATTAACATTTTCTGTTTTTTTTAACAAACTAAATTAGAGATTAATTTGGTCCAGAGTCAGATAGTGGAAACATGCAATAACACTTCATAGCTTTGTTTCCTTTCCCACTTCTAAGCAAATTTGCAATCACAGTTTCTAAAAGAACTTCCCTTTACATTCCCTATTGGCTTAGATGAATATTTTTGTCCACCTTTTGACTATTGGTCTTTTTTTGTCGACTACCAAAGACAGCGTGCTCTTGGCAGGAGGTTACTGAGACCTGGCTTGGCCCCAGTGAAGATGAGCATGTTGTTGTCATGGTTGTGAAGGAGCAGCTGGAGTTCAGAATTTGAAAAGCTGGCTCTTGGCTCTCTCCCCACATCTGCTGACTTAGGTGGAAGGAAATATCATGCTGACAACCTTCCTGAGCTGTCCTTTTTCACTGTCTTTGATGAGCTTTGGAAGACATACTTTTGTTTTGTGAAAATGTGGAGGGCCAGACCATTTCTCATTGTTACTAGTATATTGGTAAAGGACTACTGCTCTGGGTAGTTCAAATTCAGACATGGCAACACAAGCTCACTCTGGGTGGATCTAAGTGCTTATTCCAGTATTTTGGAATGAGATTTAGTCATACAGTGTTTATACTCTTAAACTCTGTGGGACTGGGCAATGTGCATCTAGATGCTTCCATGCTATTTTTACATTAGTGTGCCAAAGTTAACAGAGAAGGAGCTAATTTTATCTGTGTTTTAGGACAATATCCTGGGCAAACATGGTAAAGTTAATGAAAACTATGATGGGTTTTTGGTAGGTGTGTTTGGCTTCTCTTGGACTTGCAGAGTTCATGGTGGTCTTCCTATTTCAAGATGTGGACACCCAGTAATTGTCTGGTCTCTTTCCAGTCACGTTTGAATTCCTCCAAAGGCTAACTTTCAATTCTGGATCTCCATTGCTATTGCTTGCACATTTCCACCACATGCCCTGTGCCAGCTCCAGCACTCTCTGCAGTGAAATAACTTGCATTAGGTCTGACCAGCAGCTCCTTTTGCTGGGTCAATTTCTGGCTGGACTATTTTCCTAATGTAAATAATTGCAGAGCCACAGGCCTACTCAGATCAATACCTGAGAGGCAGAAGGGAAGAACAGCCAGTGCCAGGGGCAGCTTCTTCAACTACAGATGAATTTATGCTTGACGTTGAGTACCAGGTTAACTTCACCTTCAGAAGCTGCTGTTTGGGTTACAGTTTGGTTTGTTTTCTAAGCCCAAATTTTAACTTATTTTTTAAGAGAATCATTATGCTGCAAGTCAGCTAAAGCATTTTATCTGTCTCATGTAAAGGCTGAAGAGATAAACTGAAGTTTGCTAGCATTTGTCTCCTCTGTAGATCCAGAGATAATAGTCTATTCATTTTATCAACTACTTAGTTCACTTACTATCACATTGAAAGTTGAGAAATAGGCTTGGAATTATTTTTTTAATAGGCACATAAGCTTCTTGCCCCATGAATAAAATGAAGGATCAGTGGCTGAGGCATGTTATTTGTAAATGTTTAAAGAGATAAGAAAAAAGTTACATTCTTTACCTGCAGTTCATACTCCCCTTTTATGTAAGTGAGTTTATAAGTGAAAAACATTTTATGTAAACATATTTCATGCATGCCAAACACATTTGAGGCAATTGTATCCATTAAATCAAATTTAAATGGCTAGTTTTGTGTACTTTTAATGAATTCCAACCCTTTACCCAAGTGCAGCTTGGCATAGATCATAAGACTAATCTGCCAGCAAGTAAAAAGCACTTTTCTAGTTCAACAGCTTAAAGCTGACAAGCTAAAGAGCTGTATCTTTAAGACAGAGCAATTCTAAGTTAAGTGGGCAACTGCCAGGCCAACTACCATAGGAAACTTTCTGTACAAGTAATTCTTTCATGTCGGCAAACACGTTTGAGTGAGTGCCAGCTCATGGGAGTCAGCTTTTCTTAAAGAAATAAATCGCAAATACCAGATAGGAATGAAAGTGGAAAATGAGGGTGCTTTCTTCATGCTTGCATTATGATATACATTAGCAACTTAATCCAGTGGCAAATATTTTTTGTGGAATATTCTTGTAAATAAAGAAAATGGAATTCAAAGAAAAGCAACAAAGTAGATATTTTCCCTAAATTCACAGTGCATGTTAATAAAGAATAACCATTGTAAGAAAGGGAATCTGGGATATGAAATGTCAATCCACATATCCTTTTATTTATCTTCTTTTAACGTGTTTCCAACAGAAAATGATCCACAGCCTGTTTCTTATAAACTGTTCTGGTGATATCTTCTTGGAGAAGCACTGGAAGAGTGTTGTGAGCCAGTCTGTCTGCGATTATTTCTTCGAAGCTCAGGAGAAAGCAATCGATGTTGAGAATGTGCCTCCTGTCATCTCAACTCCACACCACTACCTCATCAGCATCTATCGGGATAAAATCTTCTTTGTGTCTGTCATACAGACAGAAGTGCCACCACTCTTCGTAATTGAATTTCTGCACAGAGTAGCAGATACTTTCCAGGTCTGTCACCATTCAATGATTTTAAAATTCAGTGTCTGAAGGAGGCCTGTGGGGAAGCCAGAGAGGGACTCTTCATCAGGAACTACAGTGATAGGACAAGGAGAAATAAGTACAAACTGAAAGAGGGGAAATTTAAGCTAGATATTAGGAAGAAATTCTCTTCTGTGAAGGTAGTAAAATAGTGAATGGAACAGGTTGCCCAGAGAGGTTGTGGATGTCAGGGCCAGGTTGGATGGGACTTTGAGCAACCTCATCTAGTGGGAGGTGTCCATGCCCCTGGCAGGGGGGATGGGACCACCCCTTAACATTTTGTGATTCTATGATTCTAAAATTACTTCAAGGGATTTTTTTGTATAAACTTCTTTTAGAGAAAGGTAATAAACCCTTCTGTGCATGACTTTTCTGTCTGCAATTTTTAAGTCAAGCACAGGTTTATAGAATACAAAGGAAAAAGAGGTTTATTTTGTGCACTCACAAGCACCAGAACCCAAATCTGACTTTGTAAATGCTGGGGTTTTTTTTCTGTAAGCGTTTGTATTAATAATGTTATGTAGATGGGAAGAAGGAGCATGTAGTCAGGCAGCATGCACTCTGTAGTGAGGAAAGGGCTGCAAAGAAGTCACTTCTCAACCAATTTCACATTTATAAAAAATTTATATAAAATTTATATAAAGGAAACACGGTGAAGATTGAGCATTACCAAACGATAGTATCTTTATTTTATGAGAGTCTTGTTAATGTTCACAACTAGAAGGACCTTTGTAACATAAATAGTAGCACATCACATTACATTATTTCACTGTTCATGCTTGTATTTATTTTCAGTTAGGTGATAAATATAACATTAACAATATGATGCCATCAGGCTATAGAAATAGGCAGTTTAGGCACTAAAATGCCTTAATGTATTGGAGGGTTTCTGTAAGAAAAAACCAAACAAACTTCCTGTTGCAAAGCATTCTAACAGGAATAAAAATCCTCTCTTTTGTAATCTCTGAACTTGTTTAGGATTACTTCGGCGAATGTTCTGAGACGGCAATTAAGGACAATGTAGTAATTGTGTATGAACTTCTAGAAGAAATGCTAGACAATGGCTTTCCACTGGCAACAGAATCTAACATACTGAAGGAGCTGATTAAGCCTCCCACAATTTTGCGCTCTGTTGTCAACTCCATCACAGGTATGAAAATGTGTCATTTCAGCAATGATGGCTGTTTAAATAAAAGCCCCATCATTTCTCGTAGCTAAAATATAATATATTGGTGTGAATCTGTAAGGTGAGGGCACTGTCCTGCCACTTCTCATCAACAGGAGTTGAATAAAAACAAGTCCCTCCTTATCTGCAGTTTATGCCTGGCCCCTCTGCTGTCCTCGGAGGCACTGCCTGGTTCAGCCACAGCTGCTGAAGTCCCTCAGGAACAGCAGCTCAGGACACACAGTCAGGACATACTGGAGACAGGTGCTCTGGGATTGGTACGGAGCTCACCCGAAGCCTTGAATAACTGAGGGGCACTGGAGAAGGTTAAGCATTTTGTAAGAAATCCATATAGGAAGGTATATAATAGATATGTAATAAATCCTTGACGGGTGGGAACAGATAGCATGAAGGGAAGCAAATAGCCTGTCCTCATCTTCCACCCTGCCCCCACCACCAAGCAGCACATGGATTTGATTTCGCAACTGATTTCAGGCTGTTGTAAATGGGTCTGTCTTGCAGTGATGAAGCCAAATGTCTGTCAGCTGAGCTGGTGGAATCTGCTTGTCTGGCAAGTGGGTGCAAGGGAGGTGAGCCATGAGTGTCACGTGGGGGCAGAGAGAAGGGAGACGGTCACTTGTACATTGTGTTAGAGAAGGGAGTAGTTGGGCTGCAGGGCCACACACATAATACTCAGAGGAGCTGGTCTTTAAGGTAGTAGATTATGGTTTAGTCTTTGAGTATAAATCCCATCAGTTTTAATTTCTGTTATTTGGAATTATTCTTTTATTTAATTAGGTTTTTTTTACATGTGGATTGGAATGCTAGTATTTACACTTACGAAAATAAGTGTTTTATCTAAACCTTATTAAAATTCCCTAGCAGCCTAAAGTGCCTGCCCAAGGCAACCTGCATCTTGTCACTGTCAACAGCTCAGTGCTGAGCAGGTGGAAACAGCAGCCTGAGATGTCTCCTATCTACCTGGCCTGGCAGCACTGCTGCACCCTGCAAGGCTGCTGCGGGACAGACACAGCAACTGCTTCTCTTCAGAGATGCAGTGGGAGTGAAGAAATGGTTGCAACTCCTCCCCCCGAGTTGTAGCACATGCAGGGGTGGACTTTAGGAAGGTTTTTTTTTTGAGTAACTACTTCTACTAGCTCAAAGGAATGAAAACTTGTTTTCTGCCTTCCAGGCTAGAGTCTGCCCAAGCAGGTTTTGTAGAAATGATACCTGCTGCCCACCAGCTTTTCAGTGAAGCTGTTTTACGTGGCACAACATCATTGTGCTAAAGGGCACAAGTCAGCATGAGCTGTGGCCCTATCCCAAGATCTACTTCTAGCAGAGGGAGCTGTTTACACTGTGCTGGGATTCCAGCATCAGTCACCTAAGCCTCAGAAGTGATAAGATTATTTTATTTTTCCTTTTTAAAGTATCATCAATTTACTTTATAACTAGGTAGCTCAGGAAGCCTTCTGCTCATGCTGGATGGTATTGGGAGCCAGGAGCCAAGGGTGAGAGCAAGGCAGGCAGGGACAGTGGTGTCATTGGTCGGGAGCCCAGAAGGTGAGGCAACAGGTCAGGGACTGGATCAGATGATTAACAGGTCATCTGCAGCTCAGTGATTGCCAGTAAGATCCATCAGAATTGGACAGGTCAAGCCAGAAAGCTCAGTCTGTGCCAGGGTCTGGATTGATTTGACACTGGTCAGTTATAGACATGGCTGTCATGTTGATGCAGAGTAGCTCAGATGGGTACCAAGGGTGAGATCCTCAGCCTAACACCACTTCCAAGCAAAGACTGTAGGAGCCCTCCCTAAGGCTTCTTACACATCCTTCTTGCTAATGACTCTTACCTGTTAATCAGCCCTGAAGTCATCCAGCTAAAACTCTTAGGAGAAGGGGGAAGCAGACTTAAGGCCCTCACAGGGAGCTGTCTTGTCTTGAATTAGGGATAAAATCCTCCATAAGATCTAGCTCCACATCTACTCCCACTCAAACCTCCTGCTGACTTGAGTATTGTATTTTGCTGTGCAAGATGTAGTGTGAAAGCTATTAAGTCTGGACACATGGCTCCAGTGCCTTCATGTCACCTCACAAATAACATTGAAGGGTCCAGGCTCTAGCCTACAGTACCTGGGGCAAGCCTTGCCTTGATTTTTAATTTTGGCAGTCAAAACCTTCCTTTTGTAATTAATTACTGATTTGAAGTTCCTTTTCATTTTTAAGGCAGTAGTAATGTGGGAGACACACTTCCCACTGGACAGTTATCCAACATTCCTTGGCGCAGAGCGGGAGTAAAATACACGAACAACGAAGCCTATTTTGATGTCATTGAAGAAATTGATGCAATTATAGACAAATCAGGTAAGATGTCTTGCAAACTGGTATTTGTTTCTCAAGTGTGTTTACACGTAGCTAATGATGTTTTAGAGAGAATACAGTCCAAACTTCTTAATTTTTTGCATATGTTTTATATACATGCATTTATATCTTAGGTAGAAATATTCAATTTAAAATGATGAGCTTAAGTGTATTTCTTCAGTTCACGTTAAAACAGCAGCATGCTCTGGGCTGCTTCAAGAACATCCACAAGTATGTTTTCTGGTTGTATACTGATTGTCTCGTAACAGATAGAAATGGGAAAAAAAAGTAGTTGAAATGTGATGAGAAAATTATCTCCTATTGTTCCTGCCAACAATGTACTGTAGTACTTGATGGCCCTCAAGTGAGCAAGACAAAATCCTTCTGATAGCAAGCTAAAATTGGTGTAAAATAGTTGGACAGTATTGTTTTCTTTATATTTAAGGAGCAGATATTATGAAGCATAATAATATTCCTTTCTTTTCTGTGAATGGAACATTTTCAGCATTTTTAAATTTGTAACATTTTCAAATACAAAAGTCTTTATTCTGAGGTTTAACTTTGAGGAGGAACCTGATAACTTTTATGCCAAGAAAAAGAAAAAAAAATATGCAAAAAGAAAACTGCAAAGCTGTGGGCAGGAACCTGATGTTTTGTTCAGTATTGGGGCCAGCAGTTAGCAAGGGTGAAGACTGCAGGACACCCTTTTGTGGTAGTATGGGCAGGGAGCAAATCTCTGATTCTTCATTCAGTGCTGCTGTTGTAGCAGTGTCAGTGTTGGTTTGATCCTGTACACCACTTCAGCAAATGCTTTGGCCACTGTTGAAGTGGATAGTCATAAATAACTATTGTGCAGCTCTTACTCTCCCCATCTTGTAGCTAAAGGAAGGTGGCCCTTAGGGAACATGCTGATGACTGTGTTACTGTTCTAGCTCCTTAGGATTCCCAAGAGTAGTGTGAGTGCTTGGTCTGAGAAGGTACAATCAACACCATGGTGAATTTCTGTGTGTATTTCAGGCCAAATCAGTGTGCACTGAGTGTTTAATTTCCTACTGAGGATCTGCTGCAGTAGTCATAGTTACTCTTTTCTTCTCTGATCCCTTGGAGATCAGCAATGCAAGAACCCCTCTTTATAGCCTTCACCAAGACTAAGGTAGATAAGGTTGCTCCCCTGGAATAGGGAGGTTATCTTGTTTCATAGGGATACGGTCGACTGCTTTAACCTGAAACAGGATCACTTCTTTTTAAACCAAGTATAAAGCCACCATTTCTCCTTTCCCTTGCCTAGATGAGCCAGTTTCTACCTATCTTCTAAAATTACCTTTGCATGTGGAGTTAATTAATTAGTCCAGCATCCTGCTTATGCCTTTCTATACTTAGAGGATATTTCAGGAAATGAGCATTTCCTGGGTAAAATGCTTGGTACTCCTACTTTGGGGTTTGGGTATTATGCTATAGATTTACTTAACATCAAAATGAATATTTAATTTCATTGTTAAACAGCCTTTACTTGTGAAAGCCAAAGTTAGCACCAACTTACTGCATTTTGACATTGACTGTTTTGATGTGCTTCAACTTCCCTGCACTACTACACAACTTGCTAGTTTTCTGGAGACTAGGGACAGGGATGAAAAAAAAATTCAGAGCTGGTGGGTTATGACTTAAATTCTTAAATAAATTCTTATTTGCTTATTGCTGGCAACCAGTTCAAGCACATCCAGTACAAGTCCTGTGTAACAGCTGGCACAAGTATCATGAACCAGTTTGGGACACGCTGTTTGCTCTGGCTCATGTACTTTAGCAAGCTGCCCAGGACACAGGTAACTGGAATGACCTTTCCTAGCTGGGCTTGGCATGTTGTTGAGTGTTGTGCAAATGTCATCTGTGCCCTCTAGCTGCACTTCACCACATCTGTTAGGCCTTTCATAATAATGTTAAGTCAAGTGTCTTGTTTTTCCCTGCAGGTTCCACAGTCTTTGCAGAAATCCAAGGTGTTATTGATTCGTGTATTAAGCTCTCAGGAATGCCAGATCTTTCTCTGTCTTTCATGGTAAATTCAGCCTATATTTGGGACTCTTAATTGCTCAGAATTTATTTTTCTTAGTGATCAGAGTTAAATAACTTTAAGATCACTATCACAATTTCATGCGTTACACATATGAAGTAACAAGTTTTGCGTTATATTACAGAAGGTGCATTGTTCAGTAGTTGGAATGGCTTTTGTGTGTACATAAAAATACCCTCACAGGAGCTGCTGTACCGGGTCGGATGAGAAATCCATCTAGCTCAGTGACGCGTCTCTGATAATGGCTACTCAGAGGCTAAGATTAGGAATTGGGTAGAGTTCAGTGGCCAGCTCAAACTGCTGGTACTTGATGAGATTTCACGTAGCATTGTGCCTCTCCTTCCAGAACCCACGGCTGCTGGATGACGTCAGCTTCCATCCATGTATTCGCTTCAAACGCTGGGAGTCTGAGCGAGTCCTTTCGTTCATTCCTCCCGACGGCAACTTCAGACTCATCTCCTACCGCGTCAGTTCCCAGAAGTACGTTTCCACTCAGACACACTGCTCCTCCAGCCACACCACCTGCTGCTTTCCACCTTGTAGAGGGGGGAATTTGCATTGTTCTGAAATGTGTGTGCTCAGGTTTTGTCTCAGCTGTTATTCTGTCCCTACTAAAAGAGGAAAACCATTTTTCAGTGACCTGCAGGTACTCAGCAATAGTTTTTCAGTGGAATAAATCACACATGACAGCGATACAGGGCTATTCAGACCTAGTAACTGTAGTTGGTGCTAGATGCTTTATGAGTAAGTCTCTGTGTACATGGAGGACTCTGAGCTTCATGAGGAGAGTAAAGCAAAAAAGTCCAAACTGCAGATATTTGCAAACTAAAGTCTGATCTGACTAGTGGCTCTCCTGAGATTTGGCTCAGTGAGATTACATAAAAAAAAAACAAACAACAAAACAGCAACCAGATGAAGAGAGAATAGGACAAGGTATTTGGATGAAAATAAAGAAAATATTTTTCCTGTGATTCTCTGGTGATAAAATCATTTCAGCAATGATGCTGAAGAGCAGAGTATCACTTCACTTACCACTTCTGAAACAAACCAGTTCTAACTTGAACACCTACCAGAAACACAAGAACCATTTATGAGAAAGTGCTTTAATTTCTCAAGCAGAGAAGTAGCCAGGATGCATTCAGCTACTGTCTTCTCTTTTCAGCTTGGTGGCAATTCCTGTATATGTGAAGCACATGATCAGTTTTAAGGAAAATACTTCTTCAGGAAGATTTGATGTTACCATTGGACCAAAACAGAATATGGGGAAAACAGTAGAAGGAGTAGTCATGACAGTTCACATGCCAAAGGCTGTACTTAACATGAACCTCACTGCTACACAAGGCAGCTATACATTTGACCCAGTTACTAAAGTAAGTCTTGAATTTTTGTTTATTTAAATATTGAAGATGGCATTACTACAGGTCACCCATATTGCAGAATACTGGAACAGTGTTCCACACTTGGCACAGAGCTCTGTTCAGCATATGTTTGTGAATTAAAAATTTACCTTTAAAATTTGCTTTTTCAAACTTAGGTACGCACCAGCTCTGATTTCTGACTTTGACAGTATTCTTTTCCTTCCCTTCCTCTCTTTTCACCCTGCTCTTTCACCCACTAATATCTTTCCATAGTGGGTGCAGCAGTATTTTGCTGATAGTTTCAGCCATTATATATTTTGCACATATGTTGTGGAAACATATTTTTCTGAAGAAAATGCACTAGCCTTGAAAATGGGCATATAGAAAAACTGGAGCAGGAGATGAGAAAAATTTTTTTCTGAAAGATCTGCCTAAAGACACACAGGAAAATAAAGTGTCTGAAAACACATCCCTTGGGCTCCTGATTCCTTGCCTCTGAGTTGGGGTTTGAGACCTAAATTTCATAAAGCTTCTGAAGCCTTTTAGTACCCAGGAGCCATTTTGCTGAAAAGTAGTTTGAGCCAAACCATTCTGCTGGCTCTAATACCCTGCTCTGAGCTTTCTGCTGCCCTTGGAATATCTCAGTCAGCAATTCGTTAAAATTGTTAGGGAAAGCTCTCCAAGTAGCATTTTGTTTCAAACACAACAGAGCTTGATCTTTTTAAAAGGAAAAAAAAAAAAAGATCTTTTTCTTTTTAAAAGAAAAAAAAATGTTTTTTTACCAACAAAAAAACTTAAGGTGTGCTTTCCTCTCTGCAGAAATAAATTTTACTGTGTTTTTATCAAGAGTTGGGGTAACTAGGTGAATTGAAACTGCAAAAAATTTTAAAAGCATAGAGAATTGAGGTCTTTCTGTATTTATGACTATGATAAGAACAAACCAACCACCTCTTGTGGGTGAGTAAAGGACCTGCTTGGTTCCACGTTTCTCCAATGACTGTAAGAATCAATGGCAATCAAGTGAGCCTTGAGAAAGTTAGTCTGATTTAGACACTCTCCTTTGGTCCAGTGCCTTGCTCCAACCCTCCTCATTCTTGTGTTTAAGTTTCTATGGTCTTTGTGGTGGTTGCTGTCTTGGCTTCCTGGATCCAGCTGACCCAAACAGACATCAGGGTCAATTATCCTTAGCAAAGGGAACAAGATGTTCTCAGTGCACAGACCCACACAGACAGGTCCCATATCTGCAGGAGCCCCCTCCCAGCCAGTGAGGTAATTCTCAGGGCTCCCAGGCTACTGTTGGTACCCAGCCTGCAAACTAAAAGCTGAACATAAACTTGACCTCATAGGTTGTTTCCTAGAATGCTACTACTTACTATTCTCTCCTTCCTCACAAGGTGCTAACATGGGATGTGGGCAAAATTACCCCTCAAAAGCTACCAAACCTGAAGGGCATAGTGAACCTGCAGTCTGGAGCCCCCAAGCCAGAGGAGAACCCAAGTTTAAACATCCAGTTTAAGATACAACAGCTTGCAATTTCAGGTGAGTGGGAGGGTATTACATGAAATTGGTGCTGGCAGAACAAGTTGGTGTAGGAAATGAAGTGGAAAACTGATCATCATTTAATTGGAGATGCAGATCTGAAGTCAGCTTGATCCAAAATGATAAAGTCTGATTTACCCAAACCTGACAGTTACCCTTGATGGAAGATTTCTTTGCTGGGAATTGTGAATTCCCAATTGTTTTGCTCAAGAAAGACTGGGAGAAGTATACAGAAGAATGGATTTTTCTTTGTTGACTGGTGCATTAAACATGCAAACATATCCTTCTAGTGAAGATTGATGGATGATGATTTAGTGTGCTGGTCCTCACATGCTTTAGCCTTGTGCCACTAAAGCTCTTTCTAGTGGTCATAAAAATGCATTCATTTTCAAGAATGCCCTTCTTATTCTTTCCTTCTGGATCTGATTAGTTTTTCATCTTTGAAACAATTTACAAGTAAAAGCAGAATGAAGTCTATAGGTAAAGTGCGGAAGTAAATTTAAAGCAGACAAGGCCTCAGTCTGCAAACACTTAAATCATGTGAGTTGACCCTGTGTAAAGTGCTTCTCCAAGCAAGCTTTGCAGGATTAAGGCCCTAACAATGCAAGAACTCACATTCAGAGAGGCAGAGGAGGAGGATGTCTGAAGGCAGTTGATGAGAGTTGGTGGTAGTACATGGTACCTTTCTGGATAGGTCTTTTTGGCCTCTAGACTATTTGGAGGAAACAACAGTTCCTGTATAAGAACAGAATCCTGCAGTTTTCTCCTAAACTAGTTTAAATCTAGCAAGATAGAGCTGGTCCAGCAGCTGGACACCAAAGATAACAGACCTGTGAGAAAGCATGGAACAGCCTGAAGCTGCAGGTATTTAATAGGTCTTTAATAGCTACTGGCCTTCCTCAAGGAATAGCAGAGGGATTGCTGGTTCTTGCAATTACGACTTGGAGTGAAAAGAATTCTAAAACTTGTCCTTTGCTTCATCTCCATGATTGGAAAGGAGTGCAGTGGGCAGGAGCTGTGGAAGATGGACTCGGTTGTTCCATAGTTCATCTCTTGCAAGGAGGATGTTTGCTTATGGAGTTGAAGAGAAACAAGGTGTTGCCCTGCCAAGACAGCTGTGATTAGTTGACAGGAATGTTCTCATCTGCCACTCCAAACCAGATGAACTTGTGAAAGAAAGGAAAAGGATCTTCCTAACCAATCCTAATGTTCTCTCAAGACAGCCAGATATCTAATCAGACTGCTGTGATTCCTAGCATTCTGCTTTTAACTTTCTACTTGTCTCTGTCTTTTTTCAGGACTGAAAGTGAATCGCCTTGACATGTATGGAGAAAAATACAAGCCTTTTAAAGGGGTCAAATACATTACAAAAGCAGGAAAATTCCAAGTCAGGACATGAGAAGATTCTAAGAGGAAATTCCCCTTAAAAAAACTTGACTGCTTAGTGACTTATGTTGGTTAGGTGCCAATTAATTAATAGAACACTGATTAGTTTGGGATCAAAGCATTTGTGCACAGCAGCTCTTAAAATGAAAGCATAGCTTAGTTTTTCTTAATATAGCTTTAAAATAAGGTACTTTTTTTCTATTACACTTTCACTCTTTTTTTACCGAATTGTTGTGCTGGTGAATAGTTTGATATGGGCAACCCACAGAATGTTACAAACACTACACTGCCAGTCAGATACCAAAGCCCTGAGGTCAAGCACATTCTGAAGGCCAGAGAGGCCACTGGTAAAGTCTTCTGGTGGCATGTTTTGCTGCTGCAGCCACCTGCAAAGAAAGCTCAGTTCCACCCACAGCCAGCTGCAAGCTGGCATTCCACAAAGCAACGTAATCCCTTCAGAAATAGAGAACAGCAGTGAGAGGGGCAGGGGTCCCCCCAGGGCCTAGGACATTGCAAGTGTCACTCCTGAAAAAGCTTCTGATGGAGTAAAAAATAATTTCTGTGTTGTTTACAAGAAATCGCCTTTCTTAAGAAGCATTTGCCTTAATCAGCTTTCATTTCTGCCAGCTGCAGATGAGCTGATAAAAATAACATCCTGCATTAAATCTGGGAGGTGATCGTTGCTTCAGTAATCCACTTTCTTTCCATTCAATCCCATCATCCCCATCATTTTTTTTTAAGAATACAGTTGCAGAGAGCAAGATCTATTTTTTATGTGAAGCCTTTGCTTTGATTTAGATGTTCCACTTGTTTGAAGTGGATGCCACCAGGTCTGTGCAGTGTGTACCTTCCAGCGTAGCTTTTAGATAGCACAGTAGAAGTGTCAAGTGTATTTAATGGTTGCGTGCTTTAATGTTCTGAAATAAAGGGAACTCCACTGCAAATACGTCTCACCTTATGAAATGTTCATGCTCTTGTAAACAATTCGTGGTGCTCTTAAGCAGGAGGCATCTGATACACTATTAAACAATGACTATTTGCTGTATCTTTACTGAACTTGAGCACTGTGCAGCTGCTTAGAGTTTTAAAAGGCTGTTAATAGCACAATAAGTAAGGTCTATTTCATATTTCTTATTTTTAAATGGAAGACAGCTATTTATTTATGATATTTCAAAGGCTCAACAGTCAGAGCAAAGCTGACCAAACTTCTTGTTATACACCAACAAAATCATCTCTCTAAACCAGTACATACTCCAAAGTAGTTATCAGGTTCCAAACCATGCATTTGGTCAATATTAATTAAGGATGGGATACTGGAGACCCTTTGTTTCTCTAACCAACCTGTCTGGCTTACAAATCAATGAGTAGGTACTAGCTTTGGTTCCAACTTGTCATCTGAAGCAAAGTCACTTAGTCAAAATTTCAAATACTGGGACAAAAATGATCCAGTCAGGAAAGAGGAGGCGAAATCCATCTGAACGGTGGCAGCAAGTCAGTAAGGAAAGAAATGGTCATACAGTCTGTGTTTGTAACTTCAGTAATATCATTAGGGTAAACTTGGCCATAAACAACCATTTTGAATGTCTAAAATTACAGTAGATAAAACAGCACCATGAAGAACCAGCACTCTGTTTCAGCAAATGGCATCCTTCAGTTTCTGTACTTACAGAAAAAATCTTGTCTTCAGAGGTAACGGGTAACATCCCAAGCTGAAGTCTGAGCAGCTGGAACTGCTCTCTGCCTTAGCAGCCTGGAAATGCTGCCCCATGGCCTTTCAGAGCTGACACCCTTCCTGAGCTGGGACACACAGAAGTGTCAGAGCTCCAGTCCCGACCCCAGCGCTGCCTCCCAGGTGTGACTGAACAAACCCCGCCTGCTCCAGGACCTCCCACACAGCTGTCACCGGGACAGCCCTGCTCAGCACAACTCACTGTCACTCACCTTCAGGAAACCAGTCTAGGCATGGAGATGTGTTTTGTCAAGGAAATGGCTGCAGGTGTGTGAGGCCAGTACCTTTTCTTGTACATGTGCTGGTTTCCTTCTGTATCCTTCTGTTATATAAACACAGAAAGCTCAACTGCAGAAGGGGGCCTGTGGTTCCTGTTCAGTTTAAAAAAAAATAATGTACCAGCACTTCTCTGAAGAGTAGAGTTTAGGGACTCAGATGGTATCAATAGCAAGGAATTACACTGCCAGGTTTTGATCTCCTCTTCTCCTCATGTCCAGTTCTGGGAGGGCCAACAAAGGTGGTTATCTGTCAGGGTCTCATCTTCTTTCAGATATGGAGAGGACTGTGAACAGTACAATACTCTGAATTTTACCAATTATTACTAAATACCAGGTGCCCTCTGGGACTATGGGGCTATGTTTGGTCCTACAGTACCAATAAACATTGGTTCCAACAAGTCAGAACGTTGTATGCTGGTAGAAATTTTTAACAAGAAAAAATGTTTATAAGATGTTCTTACAGTGTCAGAGTGAAGGAAATACAACAGTGGTTTCATACTCATCACCCTTGTATTCATTTTAAGAAGAAAAATTCACATTAACAAGATGCTGGTCAGAGTAGCAGCTCTTCCCTTACTGACACGACCAGGCCAACCCCATTTTAAGTTTTCACAATACAGCAGATCACTGTCAGGTCTCAGGAAAATCTCCTGTTCTCTCCCACTGAACACAGCTTCCAGTAAATTATTTAATTACTAGTTTGACAGGCACAAAAGACCAAAAAAACCCCTTTGTTTAATCTTCTAATGTTTTAGAAACTTTGCACTTTCTATTCAGAACATGTAGAAACAACTGTTCTTTTGCTTTAGTTTTTTGTTGCTCTTCTTGTTGCAGCATCATCTACTGCTGCTGTTATCATTAACACTCAGAAGCGTGAGAGCACTCATTACCACTTTGTTTTTGTACAAATGCATTTTTATTGTTTTAACAGAACCAAAGAAAGGTTGAAAACATTAGACTATACAATACATTTTGGTTTATAAACAAAGTTTTATAGTGGTAAAACATTTCTAAGTGACATTCATGGTCTTGTTCAAATTTTTGCTGCACTTCAGCTCTGAAGACCAGTAGTGTTCAAAAATGCAGTAACTGCATAAGGTGGTCAAGTATCTTGGCTTCTACAAACAGTTTGAGAACTTAGAGCAAACATTCTGGAAGAATATCAAAGGCAACCATGATTCATAATTCTCCTGCAAACATTCCTCAATAAACAAAAAGTGATCTTTGGCATAAACAATTATGTATTAAAGGCATTAGTAATATTGCATTAATATCATTCAAGCAACTAAACAGTGATCTAAAATAATAATAATTAAAAAAGAAATCTCAGAGAGAAGCCTGGATGGGAGGAGCAGGATGAGGGGATGTGAGGAGCACTGAAAAGCAATACAGGAAGACTATTTAGAAAATCCCTTTAAAATAATCCCTACGTATTCAGTGTTATGTACTATTAAATAGAAATTACTACATTAAAATTAAGCTAAAGTTTTGATATAAACCAACCAAATGCATCCAGGTTAAGGCTCTGGCACCCCTTCCTTCCTCTTCCTGTTGCAGGTAACTGCAAGAAGAGAGTACTAAGGAAAGATCCTAAGTACCAAATAATTCATGATACCCAGACACAAGGAGCAAATTCAAGAAGAACACGCCTTCTCTTGCTGAGGTCAGTTTGAGACAGTTGTATTATCAACAGTTTAACTTCCCTTTTTAGATAACAGTGCAATGAAGGGGGTGGAGGGGAGAAGGTCCAAGCACAGAACAACTGTTGCAGGCAGGTAGAGGACAGCTGAGTGTGCTGTGTCTCTTCCTTTGAGCTGTTAAGACTGAAGTTCTTCCCCAAGGACACTTCTATTCAAGGTGGTTTGATCGTGCAACAAGTCTCAGCAAATTAAGAGGGTGTTATGAGGTCAGTGCTGATTTGGGCAAAAGTCTGCAAGTATTCCTTGCAGATGTAGAAATTCATTCTCAAACAAGTTTTCCTTTCCATTAAACAAACAGGTAGGAATATATGTGTATATATATATATATATATGAAGGCATATTCAATTATGGAAAGATAAAACATCATAAGTCTGTTTTATTAAGGGGAGGGAGTTTGGGGGGATTATATTGTCATTTTGTTGGGGATTTTTTTTAAAGATATAGTAACACTTTGTTCAATTCACTTGAAAAAAAGATTTTGAAGACTCCAAACTCCACAAGCAGTAAAAATAATGAGGTATGTGCAGCATTAGGAACCACCATTTGCTGGTAGGCACCAGCTTACCTAAAGAGGGTTTCATGTCCCTGCAGAGCTCAGGTTTCAATAAGCTTATGCATTGTTGGAAAGAAGAGCAGTGAGGATAAAGGTATTTTTAAACTGAGTATCTTTATCTTTTAATTTTTACCTTGAGTGGCTGGAATAACATTAGATGGAGGGATGAGGGAAATCAGAATAATTGCATGTGTTCATTTGGTTTTCAAAAAGAATGAGCCAGCATGTGGCATTTTCTGGTCCTGGACATGCAGCTAAGTTAACAGAACCAGGATTTTTCAGCTCAATACATTGCTGAATTGAGCAAGGAAAGAGTTCCATGATTTAAGGTCTCCAGCCATAAGGCTCAAGCTGTCAACAGTGTGCCACTAACACAATCTGCAAAACCTTTCAGTACAGTACAAGAGTTCTGGAATGCCTAGCTACAGGGTGACTGGAGGGGAACACAGACAGCTCCAGTTTCTGTTAAAGTACTGTTGCCAGGCAAGAATCAAAAGCAATAAGCATTTCAGACATGGAGCTTTAATCCTCAGTTTACAACTGTTCTGCTGCCCCACGTTCCCTCTTTTAATCAAAAACCCCACACCTTCCATCATTTCTGCATGGTTTTAGAATAGCCAGATAAAGTCCTGTTGAGAAGTTGAATGTTTCTGTATCAATGATTGTCCCTAAAAAACTGCCAAGTAACCAAGTGTCCTAAATGCTCACGACAAGCTTTAAGTGAGGTCCATGTTTTATATCATCACATGGAAACTACTGGCATATACAGTGCATAAAATAAATGTGCTTCTGGGAGTACAGAATACACTAAGAGAATCTTGAAAAGCAAAAAAAAAAAAAAAAAAGAAAAATTTAAATATAAGAACTGTCTACTGTTGGCAGCAAATTAGAGGTGTTGGATATCAAAGGTGTTCCAAAGACATTTGAAATGCATTATCTTATAATTCATACCCTTAGAATGGGGCATTAGCATAAGCTAATCTTAAGCTCATGTATACAGCACCTTCTGCTGTTAATACATCTCTTCTGTTTCCAAAAAAAGGCATTTTTGTTACAGAAAACAATACTAATGTGGCAAGTACTTATTGATACCATGGGGTCTTTCTGACCCAGCGAAGAGTGAATCCAGCATCTGTTCTTATCTTAATGGATGCTGCTTCAGCTTCTCTCACAGTTTCCTTCACAGACTGCATGAGATTCTGGGCATTATGAACCAACATCTCAGTTGCCTGTCAAAAGAAATTTCCAATATATCAGTAAATACCATGATCGTGACAGTAGCATGTAAACTCTTTGTGCACAAAAACTCCCAGTACAAATATATTAAGTCTGCTGCCTGAAACTATGAAAATACAAATGAAGTAACTATCTCTGGGCACCAGCGTTATCCTGACTCAAAAAAAACCCTTCCCGTTCCTCACCTGACTACAACCTGCATGTCACGAAGTAGAATAACCTCTCTCGGAAGCCAAAGCTGCGAGAGTTCTCCTGAAAAGATGCATTTGGAAGGTAACTGAGCTGCAGGGGATACGAGATGATGTTGGAAAACAAACGTTTCCCCTGGAATCCACCCGAGGGCGCCCCTGCCCCTCCCTGGTCCAGTCTACGGTGGCGAGTCCTTCCCCCGGCTTTTTACTGGGCAAAGCAGGAGATTAAAAAGTTTTTCGTCACAAAATTGGAATC